AAACTGAACTTAAAACTTATCTCTTCAAATTAGCATATTCTTTGTAAATAATTTTATTTTGTCGTTGTCTTTGTCGTTTGTTTACTAGCGCTTAGAACAGATTTGTATTTGCGCTTTATAAATAAATATTATTATATTATATTATTAACGCTTACGCCAGCCAGGCGCTTATAATCAAACAAAACAATAATGTTCATTTACATACATCAACTCGAAGTTCTATTGTGCATTGCAAAGTGTGAGGTCACTAATAATAAAAGCTGTGATGTCCCTTGAGAATCACGCGTATCACTAGAACAACAACCAAAAATCTATCGCGCGCAAATTGTTGCTTCGAAAAAAATTCGTTTGAAAAGACGTTTTGATGAATCTTTTGTCCATGGTTTTGGTATAATCATGTTTGAATATTGTCGAACGTGACACTCCGTGACATTCATTGTTTACAAGAGCGTGTCCAATGATCTATTGTTGAGCCATGATTGACAGGTGACGTCACACAGTGCTGTATAAAAGCCGACCTCGAGTGTCAGCTTCTCATCTGTTGCGAGTTTTCCCCTGAAAGAACTGGATAAGATTGTATTCTATCAATAGAAAGAAGGTGAACTGCAAATCGGAGTTTTCAACCCAATTTGCTGGACAGAATTCTTTCTGGATCATCATAAAACTAAGGTAAGAATCCTTTTCAACTATTTTCTTATTTCTGCGTCAAATTTTGAGCGTTTAGCGGAGCTATTTCTGCTTCGTTCACGAGCGTTTTTCAAAGTACTTCGCAAGCAAAAATTTTTTTCTTTTGTCTTGTCAACAGATTTCCGCTCATTTCTTGATGTTTAGATATATATTCGCTTCGATTACACCTCAACATCATTTAACAACCTTTATTTCAAAGTTTTAGTTCATTTAAGCTGCAGTTAAAGCTATAAAATCGAGCTTTTGAAAATTTTCCGACAAAAGCGGTTTTTAAATAAAGCATTCTATCGTCGATTAACGGTATGTTCTTTGAGCGATTCAAAATATTCCAAGGTTCGTTTAAATCATTTTTCCTGTCTTGTGAACGTTCTTAAAGCTTGAAAATGTCTGCGAAAGCATAGAATCTGGGTTGCAAAACCTTAATGTCTTCAGCACGTACGACTCTCCTGCTGTTGACACTGAAACTTGACACGTTCGCTTCTGTTCCGCAGCATTTCGATTTTGACTGATCCACAGTTCGTCTTTGCTCATACTTCCAGAGTTTTAAATTCCTTAAACAAGTTTAATCTCAGCTCAGCACCTAGCTCCTTGAACATTTATTCTGTCTTTGTCCAAAAGTTATTTCTCCAGCCGATAATTTCTTCCTTTGACATATGTTTTCGAAACCGTGTTTTCAAATCCGAAGACTGCCGACGTCTTCAGACCAGAATCTTTCGTTTTATTTTAGTGCCAGCAATTCTTATATATTATTTTTTCATTTATTCATAACTTTCAGCTGATGTTAGGATCGTTTACTTTCCAATAACCACAGAAACTTGTTGTTGATCAGTAAGCTTTGGAAGCGAGAGAAATTTCACAATACTAAATAATTTATGACTTGTTTTTAACGATTTGGAAGCTGGTAAAACTATTTTTTTCGTTCTCTAGTTTGCTTTATTTAAACCAGCACTTGGAAAATCCGATTAAATTTTTTAAAGTATCAAGTAGTAGCTATTTTTGTGAAAATCTTTGCAGCCGATCGTGTGAGATATATTAATGTAAACGAAAGCAAGCTAGTTCAATATAATATTATGATGCAAGGTTTTCGTTAATTGCAATGTAGATTTCTTTTAAATATCCATATGCGCATCGATTTCAATACTTTTTCATTCTTATTTTTAGGCTACTGCGAAGAAAGGAGAGAAAAGAGAAAAAATAATCATGAAGATTGTATTGTTTGCTGACTTCATCGCTACCAACCATGGTCTCAACCAAGCTCAATATGTCTTAAAACAGCTTTGCGACCAAGGACATCACATCTCGCTTTTCGGTAAGTTCTCTTTGCCCGGGATTATTTTTTCTGATATCAATACTTGGGTTGTTTTTAAATCCCCCATTCCCCCGGGAAGCGGCGAGTTGGATTATTTCCAGCAAAATATGTCATCCCTTGACGTGTGTTGTTTTCGCGTTCTGCAAAGATCCACTGGTTTCAAAACATTTTTTTTCTTTTCATTTTGAGTCACCTAATATATTACCTGCAGAACGTCGTTATTTTTTACCCTTTGAACAAAAAGCAGTTTTATTTTTTAACATCTTGCTAATGGTGTCACATGTTTTGTTCGATTTTGGAGATTATCAATAACAATAGGCCCTTTGCAGCTAGTGGTCACGTGCTTGGATACCGCTTAGCAACACAAAACTGGAGAGCAAGCCTTCCAGTAAACAAAAGTTGTAATAGGTCAAGCACGCGTGGTTTTATACGATAGTTTCATCGTTCAAAACGCTTAATCCTTTTGCCCTATCTACAAACACAGTAA